TCAGAGAAAGAGGGTTTTATATAACAACTTTATTGGGGGCTGAGAAGGGAACCCAAATAATGTTTCCTATCATACAGATCTGGAAGAAAGAATGTGACATATTGTATAGAGATGTTTTGAGAAAATATGCAGTATGGCAAAGTATCTGGATGCCCACCTTCAAGTCCCAGGCACAACCACTTACCTCCTATGTGATCCTGGGCAAATTACTTCATTCTCAGTGCTTTAGTGTCCTCATATACAAAGTGAGGATAGTGATAGTAACAACCACTTAGATTTACTATGAGTTTCAAAAGAGATAATACATATAAAATATCAAACAGTAATGTAAGCACTCAATGGAAGTTAAACATCATTCTTACAGTAAAAGATGAGGAAGTTCCATCTAGAATATCTTTTTTTCATTTCAGTAAAATAAAAAATCTCACCAGGATTCTTTTAGGATATTAAATTTCTAGGAGAGAGTAGGTCTTAGTGTAATGAATAATTCAAAATTGGAGAGACATGATTTCAATAAGTCCAAAGTATTCATTAGATCATTCAGTCCTCAATTTTAGCAGTTTATTAAAATAGCAAAATAGATTTAACATCAATTCCCACACAGTTGCTTAAAAATCAGTTTCCCCTTATGTTCTAGTTGCACTGGCCATGGAGGACAGAGATTGCGTTTTAAAATCATTAGTTCTTCTCCCAGACCCAGTGTTGAAGACCAGGACCCATAGGCACGTGCTAATAAGGAAGTGATGAGTTCACCACCTGGCTGTTCAAGGCTCCTGACCTAATCACTTCACTAATGCTTTAAGGATAAGGTGAAAATTTTGTAATCTCTGGTTGCTGTAGCAGGCAGAACAGGCAATTGTGTATGCTTATCCACTTATTTAATCAAAGGTCAGTGCATTGATTTTATTTCTTCACATTTAGCAACAAGTTATAACCTGAAACACATGTAACAAATGTCAACCTGTGCTTCTTAAGCCTAATGAATTCCTCTGCAAAGCATCAGAAGGGCAATGAGGAGCAACTTGGGAAAGGGCTTTTCAGAGACTTTGTTAAGTGATTGTACTATCAAATGTATGGCTTTCTTTTGCTTTAATTATGTTCCCCTTCTGGTTCCTTGAGGTCTGTGTTCTTGCTTTACCTGCTGAGGGATATATCAGTAACAACCTCCATTAAGGTCAATTTATGTAAGGAAATATTATTATATTATGATTGTAATTATAAAAAGGTCCTTTAAGATTCTGATTACCTTTTGATTCTAATATTTCCTTTGGTTGTCAAGTCATTTATCATTTATGGGCAGAATAATTTTCAGGTTGACAGTGAAGGTGAAGGGTTCTGCTCCTTTGAAAACATCTTACTCTAGGTTTTAGAGAATCTCAGCACTGGAAAGCAATACAGAGATCTACTGGCCCATGCCCTATGTATTAGCAGTGAAAAACCTAAAGGCTGGGGAAGTTACATGATTAGTTCTAGGTCACTCATCTGTATAGTGGTGGAGTTGAACTCTGGATTAATAGATGAAAGTTGTCTTCACTGAATATCATTAACAGAAAAGAAGTTATACTCCCATCACTCATCCTATAGAAAAAATAGTTATTGTGAAGAGTATTTTGTTTAAAGTTTTGTGGCTTTGATATTGTTCAGAGAGTCCAACTTTTATGTTTATTTTACAACTTTAACTTTTGTGGTTGAGATACCTAGTTGTGGGTAATTAATGACAACTGTAATTCCCATATATCAGTTTAAACCAAAGGACTCAGGATTAACCATTGGACTGACCAATATAATCTCATTTTGTTCTTTCACTTCATTGATGGTATAAATACACTGTATTCATTACATTTTTTTCTTCTGAATTATGAGATAAATGAAGCCCTCCAACCCAAGTATAATACTAAGAAAAAGTTACTGAACATATGTATTCTCTTATTAAGGTAGTAATTTTTTAAACATTGGGAAAAGCTAAAAAGCTCCCCTTCAAGAAGGTCTTCTGTGCCCCCTCCACAATATTTCATATAACAATTTTACTTGAGGGTAGCATTCTTACTCTTTTTAAAAAACATTTTACTTTTTATTGTAATAATTCTTTTGCTTTTTCTTTACAGCATTACCACCTGTATGTATTCAACAATATAATATCAAAAATTTTATAATGTTTTATAAAACAGGATCATTAAATGTGTATCCTTCCATTCAACACTACTCTATATGTCATCTTTCATTCAACACTATGTTAGTGAAATTCATTCAAATTCACATGCAGTTGCAGCTTTAAAATGTTTGTTGCTAAATACTATACCAATTGTGTAAATATTCTTAAATATATTTAACAATTCTTTTCAGGGTGGCTATTAAGGTTGCTTCCAGTTTGGGGCTAATACACATGATGTATTACAAACTAACCTGTATGTGCCTTCTCTGAACATGTGGACAGTTTCTGTCAGGTTACACCTAGGAGGGAATTTCTGGGTTGCAGCATATGCTCATCATTAAATTTACTTATAAAAATTATTATAAATGCCACTTTTCCAAAGTACAACTTATCCTCATTATTTGTGTGTTCTATATTTGTGATTTCTCTTACTTGATAGAATTTGAAGCTCCAAAATTATGCTCATATTGCTTGCACGGTAAACCATGAATGTGCACAGAGTGGCAAAAAAATTGAGCTGCTGATATGTACATCCTCCACTGAGGTTGAATAAGGTGACAAGTGTCCTTTACGTGTTTATTAGTGCCTCATTTTTTTATATTTGTGTATGTTTTATTCATTTTACTCTTTAAAATGGCTCTCAACTTTAGTGCCAAAGTACTCTCCAGTGTTGCTAAGCACAGGAGGCTGTGATGTACCTTAAGGAGAAAAAATGTGTTAGATGTTTCCTTCAAGCATGAGTTATAGTGTTGTGGGCCAATAAATCTACAACACATACTAAATAAGGTGTCTTTGAACAGAAACACACAAACAGGTTATATATTGATTGGTTGATGAAAACATTGCTACTAGAGACTTATTCCTCTAGAAGCAGTAGTTCAATATTTGGCAACTCATCATTTGTGGCAACTTTGTAGAACATAACTACTGCAAATAACAGAATCAACTGTAGTTGAAAATATACATTTCTAGCAGGAATGTATGAGAGTTTCCAATGAGACACATTATTGAAAACACTTATTCATGTCAGATTTTTTAAAATTTTGCCCATCTTGTAGATGTGCAATAATATTCCATATATATGTTTTGTGATGATTTTTTCTAATCTGTGATTTGGCTATTCATTTTTGTGAACTGTGTGTGTAGTTCCCTACCCCCTCCTCTCCTCCTCTTCTTCTTCCTCCTCCTCCTCCCTAAATGATTGTAAGCTTCTTGAGGACAGGGGCTGAGTTGTTTTATGTTTGGATCCCACACAAGAGCACAGTGCCTTGAACCCCATAATCCTTATCTTCTAAATAAATGTCATTTTTGAAAAACTTAGCCAATCATGTTTTCTGTTTTCTCTTTTATTTCCCAAGTCATTTGCATGAAACTTGAACCTTTTGCTCCTGCCGAGTAGTTCCACCTTCATCTTTAGTCCTTGTGGTAACAGCCATATTATTCTACTCATGGTAAGATGAGGGGTATCTTGGACTGTGTTCCTGACCTCATAGTGAGAATTACCAGCGGGCCTGCAGAATTCCTAAGTAATGTGAGCCTGCTTGCCTGTAAATGCCTTTAATAATAAATGATGAGAAAGTCATAAGGTATGATATATTTTTCTTTATTATGGAACATCTCTGTAGATTGTTCAAGTCCAAATTTTAACTAAAAAAGAAAGAAAGCTATCCTTTTGGGCCTTTGTTGGCATATCATGGAACAATTTCAGTTTGGAGTGAAATAATGACTCTAAGATCAGAGGGATTTCAAGAGATTATAGAGGCACCTTGTTTTTTGTTTTAATTGTAGACAGTTTCAATAAGTGTGATAGATTATTTGGGACCAGTTGACTTAATGGGAAATGGATTATGATTAGAAATGTGATTCAAAACCATGCCAAAAACCTTCAGAAAATTATAACTATAGGTCCTTGCAGGAGAAGTTACCTTTTTCCAACATGACAGAAAATGCTCTGTAGAATCAGATTCTAGGAACATGGAGTGTTAGAACTAGAAAGAACATTAGTGATTCAGTCTCTTCATCCTATGTGAAAGGGAGAAGTAGAGCCATAAAAGGATTTGCTGAAGATCACACAGCCAGGTAGTGATTGAGGCATGCTTGCTATATAGGCTTTTTGACTTGTTCACATTCCCTTCTGTTATGAATATGTGATAATAACAGACTTTGGTGAACTACAGTACTATCATCCCATAATCTCAACATGTTGCCACTTCTCTTAATTTGACTTCTTTTGCCCTTAGCTTGCTTGTGTATAAAATTGAGATTCAGGGACTAGATGATATCCAAGTTCATTTTTATTTTTAAAATTTCATTCTTTCATGACTATTCTTTTTTAAAAAAGAAGATAGAGGTAGTTGTTTAAACAAGCTTAGAATTCTTTGCTTCTTCAGTCTCATCTCTTTGTGCCCACCCCATCTCTTCAGCCATCAGTAGAACTAAAGGTACCATTCCCTCAATGCCCCAGGTTTTCTTGTCTCAGAGCATCTGTACATGATGTGCCCCCTGCTGTCTTTTCCCTGCTAACTCCTATTTGTTCTTTAAGGTTCAGTTTGAGCATCAACTTCTCAGGAAGCCTTTGTTGATATCCTCTTATAAGCTTCCCCAGCACCCAATGGCTCTTATTATCACAATGTTTATAATTTATATTGTAACTGTCTACTTAGATACCTCTCTCTCTCCCTTTCTATGTTGTGAGCTCCTCAGCTCTGAACACCAGTGCCTGCATCATGCTAGAAACATAGGAGAAGTCCAATAAATGTTTGTTTAATGTGTAGATAGATTGCCAATTGGTTATCTTCAAGGGATGACAAGCAGTTCCATACTATGTCCATATCTCATCTTTCCACAGACTTTGACATGTTGGCATTGGCTAGTGGGCACAGCCATTTTGTGTCTTGGATTGAATAATGAATGTGTTAAGATTCACTTTCCATGAGCCACTTCTATACATTACCCCTGTGAAGGCCCTTGGTGCCCCTTTGCTGATGGAAGAAGCTCAAGGTGAGTGACTTTTGAACCTTCATCACTAAGGACAGCATGAAGCTAGTTGTTTGCTATCTGGCTCACCTGAGCATGCCAAACTATGTTCCAAGGAGGAGCTCCAGAAGGAAGTGCAGGCCTCAAGGAACATGTGGCTCCTGTGAGTTTACAAGGTCTGGTGTACATAGGCAACCTCTTTAGAGTTCTGGGGATTTAGGTGTGATGTTTTCTCTGTAGCTGGAGGATGAAAAGAGGTCAGTCATTCTTTAAAATGCTCAGAAGTTTTTCCCTCTGAGTTTGCTGAGTGGTTTCTAAGATGTGTTAACTCAGGCTTCTGTTAATTACTTCTAATTGCCAGTTAACTGCTGGTGATAGCAAGTGTCTGTCCTGAGAGTGGCAAAGACATATCCCAGGATAACAGGATTAGGGATAGAATGGTGTAAATGGCACTGGGTTGCCTAGACCCAAAAGCCCGGATTAACTAGGCAGCCCAACAAGCCACTTAGCAAGAGGAGCCCAGAAGGGAAATCTTGCTTGGGATCCCAAGGCCATCAGGAGTATGGAAACAGAGGGCATGATTCTGACAAGAACTAGAACTCTGCTGTGCTAATATTCATGCTAACCAATGAATGGAAGTTGACCACCAATCTTGAGGAAAGTTGCTTTTCAACACCTCAGTTTGTCAGAATTCTGAAGGGGTCCAGGATAAAATAAGAGAAGTATTACCAAATAGAAATAAAGAAATTCAAGATTTTGATAACCTGATCAAAATTAATAGAAGGTGTGCACATGACATGGAGCAGAAAAGTAATTCCAGACTCTTGAGATTACCTAATAATTGACCGACCCTTCCCTATCTCTTCAGCATAGTTAAGAAAGAGACTTTTTTTCTTCACCTCTGCTTTTCCTTGTCTCCTGGGCTGGAGTGGGGATGTGGACAGAAGCAGTCCTTTCTACCATTCATTTACTGATTGCATCGGAGCAGGCTTTAGAGATATAACATGCAAGTGGATAGAATTTAAAGTGTTTTTGTCCTTGTTGCTTTTTCTTTATTCCTCTGAATGTTTAATTCAGCTATTGACCCTTCCAGGATGCTATTTCCTTTTGTTGGGTAGGGGTAAGATGGATGGCCATGTGTGCATGGAAGGGTGTGCATGTGTGTGAGCGGTGGATGATGTTTCAGCAGAAAGACCAGGGTACTTTCTTTGTAACTTGGGAATCAACAGCAGACACACAGGGAAGGAAGACTTGGCTTGGGAGCCTTTGGATCAAAGGGTGTCTGATTGGATGGGCTACTCTTTGTCAAAATGAAGTTACCACAGACAAATATATTTAATCACTGGTTACATCTGTTGGGACTCCAGCAGGAAATAGTTGGCATACTGGAATAGCCAACTGAAAGGAGTTTAATGAATGGACATTTTTCCAGAGATATGGGCTGGGCTGAGGAAATCAGCGAGGGATGAAAAAGCATCCAGAGAATAACGGCATGGAAAGAGACTTCTGGTTAAAATTAGGGTAATTTTATGGAGTTGCCACTTGGAGACAACATACTAGCTGAGGACTAAAGCATTTGACTATGGTGGTGAGTCATTTCTTTCTTACTGGAGCATCTATAGGTATTATTAAATCATTTTGTAGATGAGGCATATTAAGGAGTTTTACTAATACCACAGTTCCAGTAAGTAGGAAAACTGAGATTTGAACCTAAATCTGTGTGAATCTAAATGCCATGTCCTTTCTGGCTACATTCATTACAGCTCTCATTCAGGGCAGTAAGAGATGGAGGAGGGGTGGTATCATTCTTACCTTTCCCTTATACTATGAAGGCAAAAACTACTGTAGACTCTCCCAGCAGACTCTTACTTATTTCTCACTGGCTAGAATTGTGTTACACGGCTTCCTTACATGCCCACCTCCCACACCTCCAGCTGCAGAGAAGGCTGGGAAGGCAACAAGTATTTGGCTTGTCCATCTTATACAGTGCAAAGTAATAAGAGAATAGGAGTTGAGAATGGGTCAACCGACTAGTGGCTGACTCTTTATTCTATATTGTTTGTGGTACATTCTTTCTTCCAATAACTTTACATATTCTAGCTGGTTTGGGTCAATTAATGAAACTCTCCCGTTTTTGGATAATTAAGGTGGTAGTATGTTTCTGATATGTTATGTATCGATTTTATAGTTTAACTCTGAATGCATTTTGACATACCCTGTCTCTGGGTGTATGAAAGACACTTCACAGGGAAGCCTGTGGGTACTAGTAATCATGTCTGTGGTACCAGCCTTAGACATCAAGAATGGAAAGCCCTGAGCACACTCCCTGGCACACAGCAGATATTTGGCAAATGGTGGCTACCATCACTTTTCATTGTTTCTGAATTTGGATTGGTCTTGTATGATACAGGAAGGTATTGGATGGAAATGGCTAGCTGCACAGATGGTGTTGATAAATGGGGTTTGGATGTGTGAACCCTGGTTTAAGACACCAGATGATTCATTCTTGGCCAAGTGTGGAGAGTGGATGGAGGGGCAGAATTTGTTCAAAAGCTAGCTAACAGATGCAGAGTGCTTTGAACTCAATAGGGCAGGAGAAGGAGAGAGGCCCACAGCTAGATAAATCGGTAAGATCAATTCTATAGAGAATAGGCATTGTGAATTGAAAGAAAGGTAAAGTGATGGTAAATTGTTGCAGTTATAATTGGGGAGTGAACTGGGGATTATAATATTCTATGCTTTACACTCTGTTCGGACTGACCCTATTGTACTACAATCATGTCATATTTACATTTACTTTGCCTCGTCAACATAATCTGAGATAAGGCAAGCACCATCTTAATTTTTTCTGAAGGGGATGGAAGTAGATTCCGGGCCTAAAATGTGACATTACGTCTAGATGATGGCTTAGATTAAAAAAAGAGATGTTCTCACACTCTCGTATGAGGGATCTGTGGGAATTTAGAGTGGTATTGGTTATATAGCATTTCCTATATAATATGCCAGCACTGTTCTAAGTGCTTTACTTAGATTATTTCATTTAATCTTCACAGTAGCAGTGTGCAGAAGATAAACATTATTATCCCATTTTGCAATTGAGGAAACTGAAGGACAAAGGATAAGTGACTCGAGTAAATTCACAGCTCACAGTGGTTTCAACCCAGACTGTCTGCTCTAGAGGCCAGGCTGATTTCCTATATCAATAGTTATGTAGGCTTAAATTAGTTTCTTTCTTTTGTAGGGTTACTAGATTGGCAATTAGGGATAATGTGGTTGTTATATGTATTACTTTTGAAATGTTCAATTCTGTTATAAAAGATGAATAAATTTGCAAAGCATAGGTGAAACATTTTAAGGTCTAGATAAACATGTATATATTAAATATTGATGGGATACAATAAAAGTACCAAGAGTCTAATATTCATGAGGTTCCGGATACTAGATATTCATTATAAACAAAATATATGGGGTATAAGATATACTAAACATAAAAAGGCACAAAGTATTCAGTTTACTAAATAAGTACATACTATTCATGAGACCCTAATTCATAGCCATTCTGGCCCCGTGTTCCTCTGCCTAAGAAATACAAATAAACCAGAGCTATTTATTGACTAGTGAGCTACAACTGTGGCCAGACCTAATTGTCCCTGCATCTCTCCAGTGAAGCCAATGTGTGATGGGCCCTGAGTACCTTTCATTCATAGGCCTCCTTGCTCAAATCTCAATTCTAGTTTTTGTAACCATGACATCAGTATGAGGTGTGTGTGTGTGTGTGTGTGTGTGAGAGAGAGAGAGAGAGAGAGAGAGAGAGAGAGAGAGAGAGAAAACAAATGAACACTGCTAACCCAAGATTCAAATAGTGAGGCCCTTCCACCCTGTATGTACCCTATTTTAAGAGTGTTCTAACTGTGGCTATAAATTGATTTTTAACAAACCATTCTATGACCTCCTGGTAGTATTTTTGGCATTTTGGTTACCTGAAATGTCATCACGATAATTTCCCATAGGACAGTAGGAACCTCAGCAAGGACCCTGACAATCATACAAGGGCAGACTCCCAAAGACCTGGAATTTATTTATAAAAAATTGTGTGTTTAAACATCAGTCACCTTCAAAGTACTCTCCATTTGATGTAATACACCTATTGAGACTTTTTTCCACTGCTCAAAACAGTTTTTGAACTTGTTGGTTTTGATGCCTTTTAGTTCTGCCTTTTTTTAATTTTACCTCTTCCACATCAGCAAAACATTTCCCTTTAAGGACTTGTCATCCAGGGAAACAAAAACAAAGTTGCTTGGAGTGAGATTGGGAGCACAGGGAGGGTGGGGCACTGGGGTCATGTCATTTTCTGGTCAAAAACTGCTGAACACTCAGTACAATGTGGGCAGATGGGCTCCTAAATCACCCACCATAGAATGGGCAAACACACTGAGTCTCAAAAAAAAAATTAACTGAAGCCGAATACAGCTTCTCACAACAATGTCCACTGGCACTCTGATACAGATGGATTTTTAGAACACCCACTAGCAGGGGAAGCCTGTACTACAAGGGGCCTGCCCTCCAGAAGATAATTCCATTTTTGGGGTATCCCCCCTCAAACGTGACATCTTTGTAGGCAAATATAAGCTGGAGGTACTACAAACAGAGGAACTCCTGTCTGTTCCTAGTGGCAATATTCTGGGACCTGTGCTCTAGGAAAGAGGTTTCTGGCAACGCTCCATCCCTCTGGTCTGTTCTGGTGATTGGGTGAAAAAGATGCACAAGGTAAGTTGATCAAATTTAAAGCCATGGTAAATATTGAAAGACTTTCACATTGGAGTGGTGTTCCATCTGTTCTGATTGTACGTGTGGAGCTGTGGAAAATCAATTCCATGTTGGACCAGGGGATGAGATGTGAGAGGAAAGAGGAGCATGGGAATTGGCCATGGAGTATAATGAGATGCGGTGAGTCCACAAAATTTTGAATAAGGTTAGGGAGAAGAATGAGAACAGGGCTCAGCCTTAAGAGGTGTGTATGGCAG